TCCCTGGCCCCTAAAAATCCGGTAACCAGAATGCCACATAATATAGAAAATAAACCACTATAACTATTATGATATTCATTTCATATTTAGTTAGTCTACAATGCTTATAACCTGATGTGCACCACTTGGATTCTGATTCCTTTAAATGAGGCCCAAATAAGTAACCAGGGCATCACAAAAAGAAAAAAATTGTATTTAGAAAAACTCGACATTTAGGTTTATTATCACTTAAGGCGAACTAAGACTACTTATGCCACATATTTATTATCCGATGTGATGAAACTATCATGAAATTCAAGGATTTATTACTATATTTAATATCACATAATGGAGCCATATATTGTTCTTTGCATACGGAGAAAGTTTAATATTTCTTTTTATTGTCAGGCTAAAGAGATAACTGTAATAAGAATCGTTACTTTGTCTCAGCTTTGTAGCATCCCTTTATTATAATTCAAAATGTAAAGCATCACGGATCAATATATGTTAGCAGTGTCAATAGTTTGGCCGCTAAATCGGGCTGGTCCAAATTTTACTTTATCTCCATTTGCAGAAGCCCAATGGATTTTTCGCTTTTTCGTTGCACTATGTGGGTAAAATAGGGTCGATTTATCTTATGCAAGAAGTACTTTCTCAGATCTATTTCATACATTTATCAATAATTCGATTTTAAGGTATCCTTTTCTCAGAAACTGGATACCCCTGCATACTCAGCTAAATCATCACAGATAAAAGTAAAATATTTTAGCAAATGGTTTTAGCGGTAAGATGGTTTATTAATAATATCTATAGCACTCTCTTGATGAATCTTTAAATCTAAGAAATTAAGCATCATCTATCTACAGTAGAATTGCACTTTCACCACTTGTTTTTAGCCAATAATCATGTTTGTTCCTCTTCAGCAGATTAACCTCGACTTCACTTAGGTATTATAACCCATATTTACTGGTCAGGTCTGTTAATTCGCCATATTTCTTTATCTATCTAATAGTAACTTAATCATTTGCAACATGTTGAAAAATAATGGGGAGTGATAAAACACGATTTAGCAAAAGAAAATCTTTAAAAACGCAAGGAGAGATTAACGAAATATAATAAAGAAAATATCTTTTATTCTAAACATTCTTCGATGCACAACTACTCGATTAAAATTAATGTCATGATTTTCATTTAACATATTTACTTTAAACCAGTTTGTCCATGAATTGTAATTAGTGCAGTGAAAGAATAAATCATAATATTGTACTATTTCATTAACAATTTAGTGTAAATCACACAGAGCGCTGAATATTAAGATTATGCTATAGACTCAATTTGAATTATAGTAACTCGCTTTTATTTTAAATCATTTATATTTCCTGTATGAATAATATTTGCTTTCCTTTCTGTAAAACGTAAGATGGTACCTATTTAGACAGATAACGCTTTTTAGCTGAGTTATTCTAATTTGTTTAAGTTTTATCGTGCTATCCGTTCAAAAAGATTCCGCTCATGCTGACCCGCACCATTTATCCTCAATGATTTCAGAAGATATTTCTGCTAGAAATATTTTTGATGCAATTTTACCACTTGTTTCCGAGCATGCAAGTATGTTTGTGAAATAAAGCATTACCCGGAAACGATTTTGTCGATATTTTCATTAAATCTCCCTTTTAAAAATAATTTACCACAAAATAGAGCTCATACCTTACGGCAAAAGCATTATATCTCATTTTGCATGACTGAACTAATTAGAGACTTTTAGCCATTAATGTTTGATGCTCTAAATAAAGCTCGCTAGCATTCTTAAACTCCGGTCTATTAAAATTCATGTTAGATGAGCTGCCAAATGAGCATTTCTAATTATAACCTGAATAGCAACTAGGTATTCCTGATACTCTTCTTTTTGTTTTTCGCTCGAGTGGTACTTTGTTTGAATTTTAATGTTGTTTTCTAATTTGTTAGGGTTCAACAACAATAGGACAAATTATGAAGGTATAATTGAGACGCCAACCACTAAGCAATCAATCTCCGATACCACCCCTACGGATCTCCAGGTTAATTTAAAAGGAGACACAGGCACCTGTATGCAATCAGCTATTTATACTAGACGAAATGTGTCCCATCCTCTAGTCAAATTGGAGATTCCTCCGACGAATCACATCAAAATCAGCACCCCCTCTGTAGCGGCTTTATCACACTCTGTCTTCTTATCAGAGAATGATTTACCCGAGAAAAATTTGAGTATCGTCTCCTCCATAGAAACAAGTGACACCAAGGAAGCTTATTATACTCGTGGTACTAGATATGGTCGGTCTTCTTGTTCCGAGATTGTACCTGACAAGCCGAATCCGGCAGACGATGGAAACGAGAACTATGTCATAGGGCACCAAACAGGCTTGTCCATCAAGTTTTTCCGAGGGGCAAGGAAGCAAAGAACGTGCCAAAGGCAAAGAAATTTAGATTTTCGTTTCGACGGGCCGAAGCCCTCGAATCTCGGTACTAAAGAGGCGATTTGCCTTGAGAACCTCCTTTCAGATTGGTCCAACTCCACCCTTTTTGAACCATTAGACTCTGTTCGCTCTAACTTTGCTCAGAGCAAATGTGAGTTCCTTCGCTATCCTGTGGCCCTTGCTGCGGCAATGGCGCGCGCCCAAGACAATTCATATTTGACAAACTACTATCGATCCGGAGGCAGTAGCCCATGCAGCATCAATTCTGAAAGATGGAATAATTCTTCAAAGTTGCGACTCCCTGACCAGGGATTTCTTGAAATTGACGATACGCACTTTTCCTTCCCTCCTTCAGAGCCAGATTCGCTTGCATCTGATTCCCATACTAGCTTACAGGAATCGCAAGAGTCCACTTCCCGCCCTAGGACAAAAGCTCAATTTAATGAAATGTGTAGTTCGGCGAAAGTCTATCGCAGGAAACCCACGTACTTTTTGGACTCCCATTCGCCATTCCTAAAACATAAAGGCAAACCTAAACGCACGGCAAAAGTGACCAAGCGAAGGCCTTACAAGAAAAATAGATTGCTTTGCTCTTTTAACAAACGAAAGGGTCGTGCGAAGAAAGCGGTTATCACCCAGCCTTGCTTAACACTCTCTCTCAGACCTAATAAAAATGTGAGTCGCACTTATTCCTAGAATATCCTTAAGCATTCTCCCGTGACGTTCTTTATTTGAATTACATTTTTAGAACCATTTGCTTCCCCGTGCTGATCCAGGTAGGGTAGATCTAATCTGTCAAATGTATTCGCTACATTT